CCCCGCCTCTTAGAGCCCCCCACTCCCACCCCGACCCCCGATCCAGGCCCAAGTCTGCATGAGAAGCAACAAAGGCCTGGCTGACGGTGGAGCCGCAGAAACCACAGGGAACTGGACAGCGTCCCGCCACCAACAGTCCTCTCCCGGGGAGGCCCTGAGCTCTCCCTGCCCCCAACACAACTGAGGGTGGGGAGGGTCCTCCTGGGTGGCTTCACTGGGCGGAAGCCCACCTTCCCCAAACCAGCCTTTATGAGCAGGGCACCCAAGCACCCGCACGACTTACCATTCCGCAACGCCGGGAAGTCTAGCTTCTTCAGGGAGCTGGTGGCCATCCAATTCAGCAGGATCCCTGAGAGGAGAGCAGGGGGCCGGATCTGAGCACCAGGCTGGGGAACCAGCCTGCCTCTCGGTGGTCAGACATAGGGTACCTCCGTAGAGTGGGAGGAGGAGGAGGAAGACCCTCCAGCACCGGGGCAGTAGACTGGTGGGTTCCGGGGTGGGGGCTAGACCCGGGCTTGGGTCTCAGTGTTGACATCCAGAGCCCCCTCCCCACTCCAGAGCCCAGCATCCCGGCTGCAGTCGGTGAGGCCCTTCAGGACCACCCTATGCCTGCCCACCTGCCAGGTTGCATGCAGCCGTTCTGACCCTGGATGAGTTGCTTTTCAAATAGGAGACTGTGTCTAACAGGAAGCTGTAGAGCACAGTAGGTTTCTTCTGAGTCTGTGGAAAACAAGAAGCTCAGCCTTACAAGGGGGCTGGGGGTGGGGGGGTTCCTGGGACTGAAGGGTCACCTCCTGCTGAGCCCCCTGCCAATGGCATCCAGGCTCCTGCAGCTAAAGACCAGTGGGGGCAGCTGCCTGCCCCTGTGCCTGTGGCAGATTAGGTAACAAGTGATTTGAGGGCCACCAGCCCGTTCCATTCTTGGCTGACGGCAAAGAGATGACTACATGTCCCAGACCAGTGTCTACCACCATGGCAGCCGCTGGGTCCAGGTGGCTCTTGGGTACTTGAGATGCAGCCAGTCTGCACCTCTGGATTTTGAAGACAAAATATAATAAGGTGCTGCGTGCATCGTTCTTTATTGGCTAGAGGGTGTGATGATAATGTGTGCGCTATCTACCAACCAAAGAGTCGCATCACAGGCGTGGTCAAAGAGACCATGTGGAGCTCTGTTCTGAAGGTCAGTGCTCTCAGTGGTGGAAGAACATCCACACACCTACACGGAAGACCCGTGAACACGACTGTTAATCACCGTGGTGCATCAACCGCTGATGGCACGGTGAAAAAGGCAAGGTTTGTTCAGTACCAAATTGCAAGCCTGAAATCGATCAAGCACACAGTCAAGATGCATTGATAAGGATCGGAAATTGGAACACAAACGTTGGAAGTGAAGAAGGATCAGTAGTTGGGAACTATGGGCCTAGAGATAGCAATGGAATTGGAGAGTGTATGACAAAATTTTGCAAGACCAGCAGCTTCTTCACTGGAACTGCCTTTAAAACAAACAAACAGAATGTGGTGGCTACATATATGCACCTCACCAGATGGAACCCACTGGAATCAAACAGACTACATCTGTGGGAAGAGGCCATGGAGAAACTCCATACATCAGTCAGAACACGGCCAGGGACCAGCTCCAGAACAGACTACTAATTGCTCGGGTGCAAGCTCAAGTTGAAGCTAAAAAAAATGAAAGCAAGCCCACAAGAGCCAATCAATCAATCAATCAATAACCTTGAGTGTGTCCCACCTGAAATTAGAGGCCACCTCCAGTATAGATATAGCTAATTGAACTCTAATGACTAAAGACCAGATGAGCTCTGGGACCCTATTCATCAAGAAAGGAGAAGGTCATTTAAAAAACAAAAAAGCAGGAGAGAAAGAAAGACGGAAAGAGATTTCAGGAGAGACTGCGTCCTGCTCTTCCCTGTAGCATCGCAAAGAGCAACTGGAAGGATGTCAGAGGGTGGAGTAGAAGAGAACGTAAAATATCCTAACGCAATGTGAAAATGCATGGAATTAGAAAAATTAAAGGGGGAAGCGCATGCTCCAGATTTCTCCAACTGAGTGACATAAAGGAAAAACCCAAACCCCGAGTTTCAATGCTGAGGGATGCCATGGGCAGAATATTGAACGACGCAGGAAGATGCAAAAGAAGGTGAGAGGAATATGCAAAGCCACTGTAACAGAGAGAGAGAGAGAGAGAGAGAGAGACCTCTCCTCAAGAACTGATGGGTGAGAAACAGAGCTCCGGGAGTGGACAGCACACCCGTTGAGATGTTTTAACAAAAGACGCCCTGCTGGAAGCACTGGCTCACCTACACCGAGAAACGTGGGAGACCGCTAACCTGGCCAGCCGCTGGAAGAGATCCACCTTTGTGCACGCTCCAAAGAAAGGCGATGCGAGGGATATGGAAATTATCAAACGATGTCATTAATGCCACATGTGAGTTGAATCATACTGCGTCCTCACCAGGATGGAGCACATGGCCGTCTGGAACCCCATCATCTCGTCCGGGCTGGGGGTGCTCTGCCCCAGGGGTCTCTCCAGCCCCTTGCAGCCCCAGAAGTGGAGGCACTGGAACATGGTCTCTGAGCAGGCCTGGGAGGGCGGGGAGACAGCACCGGGCGTGAGGGGGTCCAGAGCCATTTACGCATGGGTGGGCATGGGGGTGACAGGGCTGGCGGGGGCGGCCAGCTAGGCCAGAGTCACTGCCGCCTGTGGAATGCCGGCATGTGCATTTATAAAACTCCCCTTCTCCTGGGCGGGTGGTACAAACAATGAGACACTTGGCTGCTTAGCCAATGCTGGGAGGTTCTGGTCTACCGAGAGGCACCTGGCAGAAACGACTAGCGAACTACTTCCAGACCCTCAGCCATTGGAAGCCCGTTGGAGCAGAGCCCTGCACACACACACACACACACACACACACACACACACAC